GACAGTAGGTAGCCATGACATAGTGTGATCTGGGACAGTAGGTAGCCATGACATAGTGTGATCTGTGACAGTAGGTAGCCATGACATAATGTGACCTGTGACAGTAGGTAGCCATGACGTAGTGTGATCTGTGACAGTAGGTAGCCATGACGTAGTGTGACCTGTGACAGTAGGTAGCCATGACGTGGTGTGACCTGTGACAGTAGGTAGCCATGACGTGGTGTGACCTGTGACAGTAGATAGCCATGACGTGGTGTGACCTGTGACAGTAGATAGCCATGACGTGGTGTGACCTGTGACAGTAGGTAGCCATGACGTGGTGTGACCTGTGACAGTAGGTAGCCATGACGTGGTGTGACCTGTGACAGTAGGTAGCCATGACGTGGTGTGACCTGTGACAGTAGGTAGCCATGACGTAGTGGTGAGTTGAGGAACTCTGTGGAGCACCTATTCTATACTGGTGGGGTTTTCTTGTTGGTTATTTTGTATTCTGAAGATTCAAGAGTAAACCATGAGCCAAAAATGTCTTATATCGGACTGGAGAGATGGCTCAGCAGTTAGAGGGTGCTGAGTGCTTTTTCCACAGGATCCAGGTTTAATTCCCAACAGCACCTCTATAGTGGCTCACAACCCTCTGTAACTCTAGTAACAGAAAATCCAGCACCCTCTTGTGCCTTGTGTGCTTGCACGTGATGCAGACACCCAGCACCCCAACACATGCATACACAAGCAACTCATACATATAAAATTAAAAATTTTTAAATGTTGGACGCTGTGGCACAAACATTTGATCCCAATACTGTGAGGCAGATACAGGCAGATCCCTATGAGTTCAAGACCAGCCTGGTCTGTATAGTGAGTGCTAGGCCAACCCAGACTGTACAGGAAGATCCTGTCTCAAAAAAAAAGATAAAAAATGAAAAATAAATAAATAAATAAAACTTTCTTCATTGAACTTGTTTTCGAGCAGAGGTGACAAAAGGAGACAGGCAATATAAAAACATGGTGTGTTGTGTGGTAATCAGGAAGAGAAAACAAAGCAGGGTGCATGGTGAGTGGGGCTGAGACGGTAGCACTTTAGATAGAGCGGCTCGGGAATGCCGCAGATCACCTGAGCCCACTCACTTTCTGTCTCACTCTCAAGACTCCGGTGTGACTGTGGAAATAGTGGTTAGGAAACTCACAATATGTGACCCTTGTGTAATGAGTTACAAAGTGGATGTTGGTGGCATATATTTCTGACCCAGGCTAAGGTATTCTAAGGATTGTGAGCTCAGAGCTAGCCTAGGCAACATCTTGATGCGCACACACCAGTCTGAAGAAGAGCGCATGCCATTCCTGACAACTTGAGTTCAGTCCCTGGAGTGCACCATTTACTGGAATAGAAGACTGGTTCCCAAAAGTGCCTCCTGACCTCCATGCACACCCTGTACTGTGCCTACATGTTCATGATGAATGAACAGATGAATTACTGAATTAATGTAGTTTTTAAAAGTCTTTAAGGAAAAGGGTTGAGGCTCAGAAATAGGTCCATCCTGGACTACCAGGCAAAATCTTGTCTGAAAAAGAAGGAAGGAAGAAAAGAGAAGAGATTGAACCAGGCATTATCCACTTGACCATACTCCTAGTACTCGGGAGTCTAGGGTTATGAATTAGGCTGGGCTATGTAGTTAGGGTGTCTTAAACAAAAACATAAGTAGAAAAGCTAGGAAGATGACTTAATTTTGACCAAGATAGTAACTAGGCTGACCTTGGCACGTGATGGAGATGCTCAAAGTGAGGCGAGTTTTTACAGATTTATTTTATGTACACGAGTGCTCTATCTGCATGTACAGCTTTTTTGGGGGAGGCCATTTCGAAACAGAGTTTCGCTGTAGCTTTGGAATCTGTCCTGAAACTAGCTCTTGTAGACCAGGCTGGCCTCGAACTCACAGAGATCCACCTGCCTCTGCCTCCCGAGTGCTGGGATTAAAGGTGTGCCACCACTGCCCTGTACACTGCATGTACAGCTTTATGTGGGAAGAGGGCATCAGATTCCACTGTATATCATTGTGAGCCACTGAGCCATCTCTCCAGCCCCAGTAAGGCAATTTTAAGGCTATGATTTGATGAGTTTTTGGCATATTTATCCCAGTCCCATATTCTTGAAGCCACAAGGTAAAACATTATCAACTGTGAAATTTTGGGGACCTCAGTCAAGCCTGGCCTCCGCTTCGGCCTGTCACTGTGCTTTGTGTAGTTATGTACTCCTGCATCAGTGTAGGAGAGCCAGTGGCTGGCCCGCGGTGTAGCTGTGGGTTGTGTAGCTGGTCTGCTGAGCAGATGTAAGTGGTGCCTTCAGGCCTGTTGTGGAGATTTGAGTGGAAAGGGTTGTTTTGTACCTTTAGGCTGTGGTTCCTCACACAATCCCTGATGACTCCCTGACCCTGGGGCTTTCTTGAGGCAGAGTAAGTGGCACCTGTGGGTCCCATTTGTTGTCTCATTAAGTAAATTCTGAACTAGTGAGCTAAGAGCCCAGGGGCTTTAGTCACAGGTGTTTAGCTTACAGCACTGGGGAAAACAACAAACAAAAACCCAGTAAGAACTAAGGCACTGCTTCCACAGATCCTTAAACTGACGATTAATTGATCTTAGGGTGGGCTGTGCAGAGCATTGTCTACCTGCTCTAGGACGGGTCGTATTCTACTTTTACTTGTAGTTTCATGGACAACTGAGAGCCAGTGTGGAAAACTAAGCCAGCTGCTAAGACTGAAGCTGGGGTGCTGTAGATTGTTGTTGTGGTCTCCAGATTGCAAAAGCTTCACAGCAACCATGGCTAATCCAGGGATCCTGAAAAAAATGAATCTTAGTCTTTGGATGTTTATAAACTACTGATAGGCTAGCCACAGTGGCACATGGCTGTAATCACATTTCAGAGGCAGATTGCTGAAAGTTTCAGGTTATATAACAAGACTTTGCTTTATTAGAGAAAAAAATTAGTAACATCCTTCTCAAACTGCATGTGGAACCGAGAGCAGGTGTTTGGGGGCTTTTCTTTCTTCAGAGGTGTCCAGGGAGAAAGTTGATGCTTGCGGAAGTACAAGGGTACTTAGAATAGATGCGCCTTTCTCTTACCTTCTAAAAGTGAGACCTGTTGCACAGTGACATCATTCTTAAATTTATGTTGCAAAGTTAAACATAATCAAAACAAAAGAATTACAGAACAGGGCTGGAGAGATGGCTCAGAGGTTAAGAGCATTGCCCGCTCTTCCAAAGGTCCTGAGTTCAATTCCCAGCAACCACATGGTGCCTCACAACCATCTGTAATGGGGTCTGGTGTCCTCTTCTGGCCTGCAGGCACATACACAGACAGAATGTTGTATACATAATAAATAAAGAAATATTTTTTAAAAAATTATAGAACAAAATTTACCTTAGTTTTTATATAAAAAAAAAAACAAAAAAGCTACTGGTTACTACTCACTTGTTTGGCTGCAACTGGAAAAACAGAAGTCTACTCAAAATCTCATTTTACAGATCAGAAAATGATCCCCAAAGAAGGAAGGGAGCCGAGGGTTAGAGTCTCCCCACGCAGGTGAGTGGCACAGGCTGGCTCCACCCCACCACTGTCTAGAATCAGTTCTCTAATTCCACCTCACAGCTGGGAATTTTCTGTCATCAGACTTGGCTCAGGCAAGAATGAGCCTTATTTTCCCTACGCTATCCTGGGAGCATCACTGTGTATGAACTTCAAGAGAATCTAGCCATTGTGGCACACACCTTTAATCCCAGCACTTGGGAAGCAGAGGCAGGCGGAATTCAAGGCCAGTCTGGTCTATGGAGTGAGGTTTCAGGACAGCCAAAGCTACACAATGAGACTCTGTTGAGAGAGGGGGGCGGGAGGTGACAGAATTGCCGTATTATGTCTAACAACTACTGCACACTTAGACCTAGGAGGAAGTAGAGAGTCTTGTTTGGCCTGCCAGTCTCTGTCCACATCACGGACCACACTGTACAGAGATGGTGTGGAACCACTGGAAATTTTTCATTAGAGTGTAGATGAGAGATACCTGGGAAGATACTCTTCTTAGTTGAATGTATTTAAGAAGTAGTATGCAGTGTATGTGTGTGTGTACACTCATGCCACATTGTATGCATGTGTGTTTGTATGAATACGTATGTGTGTCCAGGTGCAGGTCAGTCTTCAGTCTTATTCCTCAAGAATTGTTCACCTTGGTTTTTCAAGGCAGGGCTTCTGGTCCTGGAGCACTCTGATAAGGCCAGGCTGTCTGACCAATGAACCCCAAGAATCTTCCTGTCTGAGTTTTCCCAGCCTGGGATTACAAGCATGATTCACCACATTCGTTGTTTCTGTCAGTTGTGGATTCTGGGGATTGTACTCAAGTGCTCAGCTTGAATAAGTTACTACTCAAGTCCTTTGCGGAGGCTTTAAAAACTATTATTTTAGTGTGTGTAATATATATTTGTATGATCAGAGATGTGAAGTTCAGAGAATAATTCTGTGGAGTATGTTCTCTCCTTCTGTTACATGGCTTCTTGAGACAAACTCAGGTCTTTAGGCTTGTGTGTTGGGCTTCTGCCGCCAGTGTTGAGCCATCTCTTTTTAGGGAAAAAAAATGGTTTCAAGGGAATTGAAACTCTGTTTAGTTTAGACTGGCCTTGAATTTGTGGCAGTCTGGGGTAGAAAGCCTCCCAACTTGCTTGCTGTCTTGTATTGCTCTTAGAGCAAAGGTAGTCTTATATCTTGACAAAGACTTTGGATTTTGTTTCCAAGGCCTGGACATTGGGGAGCATGTTGTACTTTGTTTAGTAAGTATGGTGCCTGACCCATGTGGTACTGGCAGGCTGATTGTGAGTCATTAGCCTTCCTTTGGTATTGCCTTCTCAGGAAGTCTTTTAGAGCCGGGCGGAGGTGCACACACCTTTAATCCCAGCATTCAGGAGGCCAACCTGGTCTACAGAGCTAGTTCCAGGATAGCCAGAGCAACACAGAGAAACCCTGTCTCGAAAAACTAAAGAGAGAGAGAGAGAGAGAGAGAGAGAGAGAGAGAGCCTGGGTGCTGAGGCATACAGAGCCCCATCTTCTGAAGAGACATGGCTTTTTCTGTTGGAACCTTAGAAATGCTAGACCTGAGCAGGAGGGAGGACCTGAGACCTTAGGTCCTAGGGTGGTTGTATTGGGACATCCAGCAGTCTAGGGTTCACTTGGGAGCTTTAGCCCTGAATGGACACTAGCTTCGGGTGTTTCCTAACCTTCCCTTATTAATTTGTAAGAGTTTGTCTCATGCAAAGTATCATGAGAGCCAAGTAAGAAGTCCATTAGCAAGCCTGCATGATAGGTGCTTTACCCGTGGTGAAGAGCAGCCGGCACATTGGCAGCAGGCTCTTCCTCTTCACTCCTCTTTCCAGGGGAAATCCTGAAACGGAGGTAGTTCTCACCAGTAAGATCCCCAGCAGTCACTGAAAGGTGGTGCAGTGGAGCCAAGTGAGGCTGCCTGTATCTGATGCTACAGTTGGGAAACCCAGCCAGCTTGACCTGAGTACACACGGTGTGTGCCCAATCAGATCTAAGGACCAGGCTGTGTGGACCAGGAGTGGACCAGGATGAGAGAGACCTGACAGCCCCAGGAGCACAACTTTAGTTTAAAGGTGTGCCTCAGCTTTTGGTGATCAGGATGGAACTGATAAAAATAGTTGGTGACCTAGAACACTCTGTGTCTTTTTAAATGGAGTTAGCCAGCTTCAATCAGTTGTTTTTAGATACAGACGTTAATCATTAAAACGGGTTCAGAGCTCCATTGCTAATAAGGTTAATGGGGCTTGGCTTTGGCTTTTGGCAAGGGGCAGTATTTGTGGACATCCTGAAGGAGTGGTTATTATTAAACAATGCGTAAGTTGGTTTTCCCTGTATTGAAATCTATTTTATAAAAATATAATTAGCAAAGTACCTAAGGTACCATTTACTTTTAAGTGTGACAACCTTAATTAGAAAATGGTAAGGTTTTATCTGAATACTGTGTTGGAAATTGTGCTTTTACGCCATCGTGGCTTTGTGTTTTGCTTGTTGTAGTGGCTTTTTAATGCTTTGGTGGTTTAGGGGCCCCTGGAGCTCATTCTTTACCCGCCAGTATCTGCCCCGCCCCTACTCTCCCGCCCTCTTCCAATGTTTGTCTCTTCTGGAAGGAGGCGGGCAGGGGTAGGCAGTGTGGGCGGAGCCCTGTGTGAGCTCAGGCTGTTTGTCTTCCTGCTGAGAAGGCCAAGGACTGACTGAAAGGCTGTTCTCAGGCTACTTCCAAACCTCATGTCATCATTGTGTTTGCTTCCGCCAGAGTGTCCTGGCCTGTACAAACCTAGGAGCAGAGAACAAACAGACAGACGTACCAAGGACAGACAGTAAACGGAGGACGCGCTGGCCGCTGGACCCCGCTGCCTCCCCTTTTTCCCTGCTGCCTGTGTCCGGAGGATGAGCCCAGCCTTCAGGACCATGGACGTGGAGCCCCGTACCAAGGGCGTCCTGCTGGAGCCCTTTGTCCACCAGGTTGGGGGGCACTCGTGCGTTCTCCGATTCAACGAGACAACCTTGTGCAAGCCCCTGGTTCCGAGGGAGCATCAGTTCTACGAGACCCTCCCAGCTGAGATGCGCAAATTCACTCCTCAGTACAAAGGTGAGCCCCCGGCTGCTAGCGGGGTCGCCAGGCTGCTAAGATGTAAGGACTTGGGCAGTGAAGGCCCTGGCAGCAGTCCTGGGAGCCCCCACCCCCTTCCGTTTACCCTTTTGTTTTCCCTTCTCCTTCTCCTCTTGGCCCTCAGCCCAGCACCTCACACCCTCAGTTCTCAAGCCCTGGTAAGATTGCTCAATTGTTTTGTTTTCTGGATTTGCTTTGAGTTTATTTTTGGTGGAAGTATAGTTATTTTTCATGTTCAGGTGTCTCCTGCTCAAGGTAACCCATAGTCCCCGTGTGGGGACAATTCTGGAAGACTTTAGGAGGATTTTACCCAGAATTCTTGCTGCCTGCTTTTTGTCCTCCAGGAAACCAGAAGCCCTGGTGATTAGGTAGGCTGGGAGCAGGGTTGAGTCAGATGGAATGCAGGAGTGGGAGGATTGTGCTGATTAGCTCAAGTCCTTTGCTATTACGGAATGTCCCCAGAATTGCTGTGTGAAGGCAACCCTTTGATTCACATGTAGTGACTTTTTCTTCTCTTTTTATTATGATGTACTTCAAGGGAACATCAATCACCAGCATAGTGTGTTCTTTCCTGGGGAGGAGGGGGAGCCTTTTATAAATCAGAAGAGAACTTATTAAGAAATAATTTTAAATATGTATTACCAGATATAAAAAAAAGCTAGAACAATTTAGATTCTCCTGTTCTTTAAAGACAGGATGGAGTGGGTTTCCTCTCTACTTGGAAATGCATGTGGCGGGACTGGGGGCGTTGGGGACCCTCACTTGGTCCTTTTCTGTTATTTTTTTCAGGACAAAGCCAAAGTTCCCTTGTTAGCTGGCCCCGTTTTTATCCCCTTGGTCCTTCCTTATGCCCACAGGGAAGTGTGGTCCCCTGATACCCCCCCTCGGCTCCTCTGCGCCCAGAGCTGGGGGCCACCTCAGAAGTGTCGTCTCTCTCTGAGCATGCATTTTCCCTGCAGCAAGCAAGCGGGCGGGCAGCAAGGACTGAGCAGATTGAGTGATCGTGGGGCAGAGAGGCCTAGAGGAAAGGTGTTCAGCCACTCGGCTGTAAGGCGCTCGTCGGCACCGCTGAAATGCTCCCACCTGGCAGCCCCTTCCTCAGAGACTGTCTAATTACACATGGCAGGTCCTAGAGACTCAAAAGGGAGAGCTGCTTTCAAGGCTACCATGTGTCTGTGTTCCTGCCCCCTCATCTGCTGGTGTTCATTTTGTTCTTTTGTGACACAAAACGACAAAAACCAATAAAAGCATAACTGAGAAGGACAGAAGGCTTGGCTCACCCACCCTTGCAGGGTGCTAGAGAAGCCTTGGCCAGGGTGTCTGTGTTGTGTGGTTTGTTTGCTGCTCTCCTTTGCTTTGCTCACGCAGTCGTCCCTCCCCTTCAGCGCACTCACCTGAAGGCGCACCTGTGTGTCCCCTGCTCTCGGGCTCTGCTTTAAAGCAAGCCTCCAGGCCGTCGGAGTTTCTGTGGAGGACATAAATTTCTTATAAGATACATAGAGTGATGTTTTTGTGTCTCTCTCAGGATTAGAAGAGTTACATAAAAATTAATAAACATTTTTAATGATGGAAAAATGTGTCTTGTAATTCTTTGGCCCTTGCCTTCCCATGTTGAGTGCATTAGAGAGGAAGTCTCTCGGCCATGTTTGCTCCCTAATTGCTTGTCTTGTGTGGTGTCACTTTTTTCTAGCTGTTTTGATATTTGTTAGGTTTGCAGATGAGTGTGGGGCCTCTGGCAACATAGAGACTAAGGAACAGGGTAAGAAACAAAACAAATGTTACAATCATGTTATCTAGAATGCTTTTTTCTGTGGAAATAAAAGTCCCTTCTGCTCCTCCCCCCCTTTCAGGTGTGGTTTCCGTGCGCTTTGAGGAAGACGAAGACAGAAACTTGTGTTTAATAGCATATCCACTAAAGGGGGACCATGGAGCTGTGGACATTGTAGACAATTCAGACTGTGAGCCAAAGAGTAAGCTGCTAAGATGGACAAACAAAAAGCATCATGTCCTAGAAACAGAAAAGAGTCCCAAGGAATGGGTGCGCCAGCACCGGAAAGAGGAGAAGATGAAGAGGTGGGTAAAACTGAGAGGATGTGTGTTGGGGCCTTGGTTGGAGTCTGGTTCCATGCAGCTAGGAGCTCATAGTGGACCTGTGTGTAGAAAATTCACTGCTGGTCCCACATGCCTGCTGTCTCTGATTGGCTCTGGGTTAGGTCATGCCATTTTGCATAAATAGCTGAATGGCAGCTGTAAAAGAGATTGACTCATTCCCTCCACAGTTACTTTGTGCGAGGCCACAGGCAGACTGGAGCCATTGCTTTACCTTAGGCTGCTTGCTGATGGTGGGGACAAAGGGATCAGTTAGCCTGTGCTAACGTGAGGACCTGTGTGGACAGGACAGGTTGGCAGAACTTATAAAAATAGTGTAAAGTGTGTGTGATGTGGTCAGGTAGATGAACTGATCCCAGTGAGGTTTCACTTCGCGTCTCCCTGGTCTTGGAATCAGGAGACAGCATAACCAGAGGCTATTGCCTGGAAACGGGGAATAAAGACTGTCTGCCTCACAAGCGGCGGCGGGGCGCCTCCCCGGGGGTGGAGGCTATTGTTACATCTTGCTATAGAATAGCAAATTAAAAACTTAAAAATTTTAATCAACTTTCATATTTAATTTTGATAATACATTATGATTTATTGAATCCTTATTCTTTATAGTCATAAGTTAGAAGAAGAATTTGAGTTGCTAAAGAAATCTGAAGTCCTATACTACAGTGTAGAAAAAAAAGGAAATATAAGTTCCCAGCTTAAACACTATAACCCTTGGAGCATGAAATGTCATCAACAACAGTTACAGAGAATGAAGGAGAATGCAAAGCATCGAAACCAGTACAGTATCCTTTGTCATAAGGTTTTCTTACCTTGGGGGAAATGAAGAGAAGCGCGAGGAGGGCTCGAAGAGAGAACTGGGGAATTGGTTGTTGTACAATAGCAGGTCTCTGTGTACTTCCACTGGACTAGAGCCGGGATTACAGGTGTCTGCCACTACACCTGCCTGATGTGTTCTATTTTGGGGTGTGGCTGTGTATTCTTCCGCACACGCACCACAGCATATGTGAGGTCAGATGACAACTTCCAGGAGTCCATTCTCTCCTTCCACCAAGAGGTTCCAAAAATTGAACTCACTGAGCTGTCTGATGGGCCTGTTTGGTTTTATGTTAGCTGTGATTAATTTCCACATTAGAGTTGTGCCCAAGATAATCCTGAGTCAATGGGTTCTGCCACCTCCCTTGTGAATAGAAGCTGCCTCAGAGTCTAAAGAAAGGAGCACAACAGGTCCCTGAGAACCTTGTGAAGAAGCCATCTTGTACCACATGGGCTTTAGCCTAGGTATTTCAGTCCCCGTTCACCAGTCTGCCGTACAAACCACTAAACTATCATTCCCTGGCCTCAGATTGTGTTTGTTTTGTGCAGTTCTGGGAGTCTAATCCAGGGTTAGATTTGGCAAGGACTGGGGACACAATGTGTATAGAGATCTGAGAGCAGTTTGCGTGAGTCTGTTCTTTCCCTCATGTGACCCACTTAACAGCCTCGCTGCCCACGCCCAGGGTCTCTTTGGTTTTGTTTTTTTTTAATTTTATGAATTGAAATTCCTGAGAATTTTCTTAACCTTTACTAGGAAAGAAGTGTTAAAAATTGAGTTCCTAAGTGCTTATCACTCAGAATTGGATGTTAACCTACTTGAATCGATCTCTTGCATATACCCAGTGCCCCACAACTGACATTTTTAAAGTTCTTTTATTTTTTGAGATTATAATTACATCATTTCCCCCTTCCCCTTCTTCCCTCCAAACCCTCCCATATCCTCCTCTTTGCTATCTTTCAGATTATTGGCCTGTGTTTTTCATTAATTGTTTTGTTACAAAAATGCATGTATATACATATATTCCTAAATATAACCTGCTCGGTGTGTATAATTTTACTTGTATGTATAGTTTCAGGACTGGCCATTTGGGATTGGACAACAGTTGGTGTGCGCTTTCCTGGAGAAGACTGTTTCTTTCCCTTCCAGCATCCCTCAGTCGCCTGTGCATCTTTGTGTAGCACTGAGGCCTTGTGAGCTTTACCCTGTTCTCTTTACAGTGTCTAGTGTTGTTCTCCTTGTTCGGCTCATGTTTGGCAGTGATGTTGGTGAAACTTGATAGGTGTGGCTTTTGACACTGCCGGGAGACACAGTCTCACATCAAATTCCCTAATCTTCTGACTCTTAGGGTCTTCAGCCCCCTGTTCTGCAATGTTACCTGAGACTTAGGGGCCGGTGTTGTTTTGTAGTTGTATCCATTGGAACTGGGCACCACAACTCTGCATTTTGACTGTTGTAGCTTTCAAAGAGAAGCTCCCTAAGGTCTATCTATGGTTATCAGGCTAGACCCTGGAGACAGGTGGAAACTGACTTTTTTTAGGTACAGGGCCTTGTGCAGGCTAAACAAACCTTACCACTGAGTTAATTTAGGTCACCTATTCTTGCTTAAACAGTTTTTCCCCCTGAATTTGATTCTGAAGCAAGTCTGATATACATGATTTTATCTGATCATATGTGTGTGTGTGTGTGTGTGTGTGTGTGTGTGTGTGTATGTATCATATATCCATAAAAGGTAAACATATGTTAGCATGAGGACCAGTTTGAGTCCCAGCATCCATATAACAACAGCTGGACTGTAATCCCAGTAGTGGGAGGGAGAGACAGGAAGATCCCTGGAGCTCATTAGCCAGCCATGCTAGCTGAATCATTAAGTACCATGTCTCAAAAAAGAAATGTGCAAAGTGATTGAGGTAGACAAGCGTGTCAGTAACTTCTGCTCTTCACATATGTACATACATGCATGAGCATGTACAGACACAGCCACAAAGATATTTTTTAAGTTAAGGATATTTTAACATTAATACTATTTTACTTTTCAAAAATAGTAATTCTTTTATATAAAATAAGTATTTTGCTGGATATGCTTGTCAGCACGTCTTTAATCCCAGCATTTGAGGTGAGGAGGGAAGGCAGAGGCAGGTGGATCTCTGAGTTCAAGACCAGCTTAGTTTACAGACAGAGTTCCAGGACAGCCAGGGTTGCATAGAGAAACCCTGTCTCAAAAGAAAAAAAAAGAAAGAAAAGAAAAGAAAAAAGGAAAGAAGAAAGAAAAATGCCTGTTTCATGTTCTTATTTCCCAGATTGTGTCAATAAATGTGTTTTTATTGTTGGTCTGTTTGAGGAAAGATCTGTGTAAAGTTCATGGGTGGTGTTGGATTGAAGTGCTGGAGACTTAACACTTTATACCATTTTTTTCTTCTTGGAGATTTCCTGTCAGAATAAACAAGGATCAGTGATAGGGAGATGTCTCATGTGGTTAGAGACAGGGCTTTGTCTGCAAGCATGAAATCCCAACACCCACAGAAGATCTGAGCACGACCGCTCAGGTCTGTAGCCCTATTGATGTGGGGCAGAGACAGGAAGACCCCTGGAACTTCCTCACCAGTTGGGCTAGCCAGTTAGTGAGCTCCAGGTTCAGTGAAGAAACTTGTCTCAAGATATAAGGTTTGGGAAGTGATAGAGCAAGGTACCGGACATCTGGATTTCTTTTGCACTGATACATGCATGTGCATATTAGAAAGGCATGGAGTTTTCCATGGTCTGGATTTTACTTAGTACATCCCTGTGGTATCTTGTACATATGACCCACTCCTCTCTTTCCAATAGGCTGATATCTGGATCTAAAGATTTGATCAGATGCAGGTTCAGTTCTAGGGCTACAAGCACGAATCCTTGAAAGATGGTATTGTCCGTTGGAACCATGATGTTTAGCTTTATTTTTCAGTCATTGTTTTTGAGCCACCTTTTTCATTAGATGGCTTCCTAATTTTGTTGGTCATCGACTGGAATTTTACAAAGAATAATCTTGAAGTGCAGTTGGGAAGAGATTAAATGCTCATTTTTCTTTATTTACCAGATGTTTGGAATAACTTATCATTCATAACATGGGTGTCTCGAGGCTGGTCCCACGAGTGGCTGTGGCAAGTCACCTGAGGCTTCACGGTCCCTTGGCTGGTGGGAGACAAACAGCACCATGCAGAGAGAGCTTGTGTAGAGTTTATTTAGTGGGTATTGGGAATGGCATAAGAGTAAGGGGTTATTATGGAGGGAGGGGAGAAGGGGGTGAGGAGGCAGGAGGCAGGAGCTTCACTAGCCCCAGAAGGTGTGTGTGTGTGGAGGGGGGGATTGGGAGTAGGCAGGGCTTATCTCTTAAAGGGACAGGGTACCCAGGTGACTGGCCAGGCCAGCAGATTACAACATTCCCGCCTTTCTCTTATAATAAAAAGGTGGGAAGTTAGTCATGGCAGGTTAAGGGGATTGGGATGGCAGGTCCTCAAGACTATTTCCTGCTTATTTGTGGGTGTCGAAATCTTTCTTGGAAGACCTGAGAAAACTGGGTGCTGGTCACATCCTGGAGTGGTTGGTTAGCTTTGCTCCTGTCCAGGATTGTGGATGGAACTGTCTGGTGGCTCTTGGACCTGGCAAGTTGTTGGTAGAGCAGAGGACAAAGTTAAATTCAGGAAGAAAAAATTTTTTAGGACCAGGGAATTGAGAGGGCTGTATCCAACCTGTTTAAAGTGGGTCCTTCAATTCAGCTCCGTGGAACTCAAAAGAATTCTTTGACTTTGTGAAAACATAAGTTTTAGACATATACATTGTATAAACAGCAGCATATTTATGTCAAAATGACTGTAACAGATGTTTTTGCACAATGAAAAGTATCTTTAGAAAATGACCAAAGAGAATTTACAATCCTGATCTGCCAGAGTTGGATTAGTAGCAAGTTCCAGGATAGCCAGGACTGCTAGACAGAGAAATCCTATCTCACAGAACCAAATGAACGAATGAATGAATGAATGAATGAATGAATGAAATAATGAATGAAGCCCGAGCTGGAAAGAGCTCACATTGCTGTTGGAGACCACTAAATCAGTTCCCAGCATCTGCTGTGGGAATTCATTCTGCCAATAACTTTGGGTACCAGCCTTAAGATGTGGCTTCTTGCCTGCAGATGTGATCTCTTAAAAGGAGAAAGAGAAGTCCTATACTCTCTTGGGCTGTGAAGGCCAGAGCCAGGCTGTATGAAGCAGCGTGTGGCTGGCTCTCAGCTTCCTCGATCCCATGAGTCTGTTCTCACCAGCACCCCTCAATAAATCGATATATATATTTGTGGTTCTCACTACAAGCATCCAACTCATAACAGCCTGTAACTCCAGCTCTGGGAATCTGAAGCAGTCACCCTCTCTTGGTGTGTGCTCACGTGCACAGACCAGTATAGATGCACAGTTACACAGACATGGTATGTGTATCTCTGGCTGGGAGCCCTAGGCCTGTGTTGAGTTCAGATACTGTCATTTATGCTAGTTTCCTGGCAGTTCAAGGGGATCTCTGAGGTCTCTCCTCAGCTCTGAGCTCCCTCTGTGGAAGACAGCATAGCCAATGAATGGGGTGTCCTGTGGACTGAGACTTCTTTAGTCATTACGTGCAAACACTTCCCTTTTGAGGTATTGTCCTTAACTGCTCAGAATTTATCTTACTGGAGAACCTAACTTCCCGTTATGAGGTACCTTGTGTCCTGGACCTCAAGATGGGCACACGTCAGCATGGCGACGATGCTTCGGAGGAGAAAGCCGCCAACCAGATTCGAAAATGTCAGCAAAGCACATCTGCGGTCATTGGTGTGCGTGTGTGTGGCATGCAGGTGAGGAGCATGCACATACTAATGAAGACTACAGGGTGTCCAATGGCTGTCCCCAAAGAGCTCAAATTTGGGGTCTTTCTCCTTTGGAAATTTAAAACTCCTCGCAGTCAGTTTTTCCTACTTTCCCATAATAAATACATCCAGTCTGCTTTATTTAAAACAACAGCAACAGATCCAGTAGGGCTATATCTCATGTGATAGAGTTTGCACCTAACACACGTGAGGCTGTGGGTTTAGTACCCAGTACCAAAACCAAAACAAAGCAGATTTCAGTGAGCTGAAGATATGGTAGAGTTTCTTGCATACACAAGGCCCTGGATTTGATCTCCAGAACAGACATGCACACACACAAATTATATATATATATTTTTTAAATCCAAGTTTGATCTTACCTGAGTCTGTTGCTTTCTGGTTAAAAAAGAAAGTGGGTATACCTAGTTGAGCTCTCTGAGGCTAGTCTGGCTGTCCGAGTCCATATGAATATATCCATATACTAGGATACAAAACTAAGCCACTCTGTTGATGTAGTTACAGAATAGAGTAGACTAGATCCTAGGTGATGGCATAGTCTGGGTGGGCGCTGGTCAGACAGGCGCTCCTGTGTGACTGATGCACTCAGGCTACAAGGTCTCCTCACCCTCCTTCACAAATGATGAGGTCTTGAAAAGCCTTTTGACCCTGACTTGCTGATCTCTTCCCACAGGTGTACCAGGCAGGCACTGGGCAGCTCATGTTCATGAACAAGTACCATGGGCGGAAGCTTTCCGTGCAGGGCTTCAAGGAGGCACTTTTCCAGTTCTTCCACAATGGGCGGTACCTGCGCCGAGAGCTTCTGGGCCCTGTGCTCAAGAAGCTAACTGAGCTCAAGGCTGTGTTGGAGCGACAGGAATCCTACCGCTTCTATTCAAGTTCCCTACTGGTCATTTATGATGGCAAAGAGTGGCCAGAAGTGACCCTGGACTCAGATGCTGAGGACTTGGAAGACCTCTCTGAAGAGTCGGCTGACGAGTCTGCTGGTGCCTATGCCTACAAACCCATTGGTGCCAGTTCAGTGGACGTGCGCATGATCGACTTTGCACACACCACCTGCAGGCTGTATGGCGAGGACAGTGTGGTGCATGAGGGCCAGGATGCTGGCTATATCTTTGGGCTCCAGAGCCTGATAGACATTGTTACAGAGATAAGTGAGGAAAGTGGGGAGTGAGCTTGTTGACTGTTTCAGTACCTGAGAGACTCTCTGTGCCCCCCTACAGCTGTGCTGTCGGGGAGGAGGCCAGTATGGCCAGGTGGTGGCCTCTGCAGCCTGGAGCTGATAGACAGTGGCCTCTGTGAACCCCAGCCTGAGCCAGCCCCAGCCGTGCTCAGAGTCTTTATTTATTTTAACTATTTCTTCAACATTCCACATTTGATGATGCAGATACCTCTTTCTTCCCTGAGTGTAAATGTTCTAATACAGATCTTTTTGTTTATTGTATATAGTGATGCTGTCATTCTTTCTAAGCATGCAGACTCCCAACCTGTAGAAGCCTCCATGTGCTGTGACCTCCCAGTCCGTGTTCCCACTCTGTAGGTTGCATTGAAGCCATCACAATGGTTTGGCTTTATCCAGAGTCCCAGTTCAGCACCTTGCAGTCGTCGAAAAAAGATATTCCCTACGCTTACTTAGCCAGGTCTCCGTGGTTTACGCTGGCTGGATCTCTACCATCCTTACGTAGAAGTACAGTGGGCATAAGTTTCTCACAGCCCTACACAGCTTAAGGAGAAGTTGGACAACAGGCCCTCCAATCCTTGGGTTCTTGATTTCTCCTAGGTGTTGGTAGCAAGTAACTAATTGGCTAGACATAGTAATCTCCAATATCCTGGACCTGGACCGCATGCAGGGATCTCAAGGAGGCATTGGTCTGTGGTCTCTCCGGAGCCGTGAGCCCAGGTAGGGGGCGTGCAGGTAGCTTTGAGCAGGGTGCTTTGGGCTTCACCTGCCACCACTCCTGCTCAGCAGTCCCATGATCATGCCAGTCTTGTCTTCACAAAGACCTCAGCTCCACCCTAAGGTCCACTACTGCTGTGTGCCTCAAGAGCTGGAGCAGGGCAGGAGGAATCAAAACTTGGCAGAAACAGAATTGGTATGGAGAAGCCAAGGTCTGATGTCAAATTCTTGTCTCAGCTAAACCTTCCAAAGCTCTCCCAAGTCTCACTAGGCCTGTTTCTGCCGTGCCCAAACGAGATGAGTGAAGGCTTGGTGGGGTCGGACTCAGGAGGCAGACGCAGTGGGATTGCTGTTAGTTTGAGGCCAGTTGGGGCTGCATAGTGAGATCCTGACTTTAAAAAAGGCCTGGGTACATAGTTGCATACACCCTTAGTCCCAATACTTGGGAAGCAAAGGCTGGAGAATCATTGTGAATTCGAGGCCAGCCTGGTCTACATAGTTCCAGGATAGCTAGAAATACATAGTGAGACCTTGCCTTAAAAAGAAATAAAAACAGAAATTAAAAAAAAAAACCCTAAAGTCTGATGGTGTATGCATCCCAAGCTCCCTCCCTAGATGCAGGCTTTCAGGGGAGAGTAGGCCACTCCAGCTCCCCTGATGTCCTCTTCAGCTGGGATTCAGGGATGACAAGTGTTTCAAAGATTTAGAGGTCTGGGCTGACTACAAAGCTGAAAGTCAAGGATGCTTTATCTTTTTCTTTTCTGTCTTTTTTCTTTCCTTTGAGACAGGTCTCACTGTGAAGCCCAGGCTGATCTTGAACTTACCTTTCTCCAGCCTCTGCCTCCTGGATGCTGGAATTACACTATCATTCAGAATTCAAAACACCTTCTCCAAACCCCATGCATTCAATCCCTACCCTGTTAGCTTTCTGCCCCTCACCCCTTTTTTCGGGAGAGGGCCATTTGTGAGGTTGAGGCAGGAGGACAAGTTTACATAACATACTGCCTTGAAAAGCAGGAGATGCACACACAGACGAGGGGGAGAGGGGGAGAGAGATGAATGAATATGACCTCAAGATCATAGACTTGGAATCCTTTGTGACAACATAACAATGATGGGTAGAAGAAGTTGGAGCTTGGTCCAGAAGCGAGTGCTTAAGCAGAGAACAGCTGCAAAGACAGGACAAGAAGGAAGGCAGCCAGTGGCCCAAGGGGGTGCGTGTGTAGGGAGCAAAGATGCCTTTCAGACAGTACGACCTGGTTTTGTGTCTCATTCTCCACACTTGTCCACCTCAGTGACAGAGCAGGGACTTGGTGCTAAGGCATTGTGAGGCCTAGACACGCTGAGAGGACCCCTCCCCGCGAGGGACTTACAGGTGTCTGATCAATATTCCTCAAAGCAAAGCGCCACCACCCGGTCTCGGGGGACACACCGGCTGCAAGCAAGTCCTAGGCGCCTTCCCCAGGAGGTGGGAAAGAAAGCAATACTCTCACCTGTGTGGGGAGGGCGAGGTTGGGGGTGGGGAGAGATAACCAGGCAGAGGGAGATAGGACCCGGAACCACCTGACTTGAGTCTGAGGTTCGAGCGTCCAGAGTCCCTGCAGCAGCACCCCGCCCCGCCGAACCTCTCAGGGCCGCCAGGGGGCGCGGCGCTCCAATGCTGGAGCCGACTCGCTTCTGGGGCGGGGCTCTGGCGATCGAGCATGCGCACGCGTGGCGTGTCACGGGGCGGGGCGGGGCGAGCGCAGCGCGCCGCGGCTCTCAGGGCCTGGCTTCCCGGGACCGCAACCTTCGTCGAGTACCCAGCCCCGGCGCTACCCGGCCCGGCCCCATGTACCGCGCGCTGTATGCGTTCCGCTCGGCGGAGCCCAACGCCATGGCGTTCGCCGCGGGCGAGACCTTTCTGGTGCTGGAGCGCAGCAGCACCCACTGGTGGTTAGCTGCACGGGCGCGCAGTGGCGAGACCGGCTACGTGCCGCCTGCCTACCTGCATCGTCTGCAGGTGAGTGTGTCCCTCCCAGCCAGGCCTCTCGCTCGAACCCCTTCACCGGTACGCAGAACCGATCCAGGAAGCCCAGCCAGGTTCTCCAGGACTTCTACCAGACAGGGAGTTTGAGAATCTGACCTTAAGTCCCAAGAGTCCCAAGGACTGAGACCCCAGGAGCCATCAGTGCCCACCGAAGACTAGGCCTTTGACATCCAATCGCAGGCCTAGAAAAAGCTTCATTCAGAGACTGGCACTCCAGGCACCCCCGTATCCAGAATCAGAGCCTCCATATAAATAGAATTCCTTAGCTGGACCCAGAGACTCAAGTCCCCAAGACCCTTTTTATTCCCCTTTACCAAGTCCCTAGGATTCCACACTCTCGTCTCCCTCCCCGCCCCATTTGGAGTCTCTACCTTTACATAAAGACCACCGTGCCCTCCACGGACACTGTGCCATCTGATTCACCACCTGTTTCCCCAGTTCTCAACCCCAAAACCCTACCCACACACTTGGACCCCAGAGTCATAGGCACTCCTATCCCTTATCTGATCCCCAATTCCTGTAATATCTCTGTATCCCGAACTCACTCACCAGTCCAAGGACTGTTCCCCCAACCCTCCTGGAGCCAAGGCCCCTGCTGGCAAGGCTCCCTGGTACTGCCTCCACTTCCCCCAAGCCCCCAGCCCTGACTTTTCGGGTCTCGGAAATCTGGGGAGCTCACTCAATCCTGGAATGGGAGCTGCCCACACTGTGAGGAAGTGAGCCTCCTCCGTGGCTTCCCCTGTTCTGAAGATGGCCTGGTTTCCTTCCAGTGGAGGCTGCGGCTCCAGTTCCTGTTTCCTCGGGAGTAGTCCTGCAGTTGCCCAGTTCTTCTGTAGGAAGAAGGGGGGCCCTGCCCTGGTCCCTAGCTATGGAAACATCCTGTCCCAGCCCAGTCAAGGACAGAAATAATATGCTAACGTTGGAATTGTGGTCTGGTCTTACCGAAGGGGAGAGACCCTTGGTCCTGGGGGCTTCCTCACAGACCCTCAGTCTCACCTAGAGGTACTTGGGGTCAGTTGGATCTGAAATGTGTCATGCCCAGCCCAGCGTTCTGAGCACTGGGGTCTTGTCGGGGACCCCTAGAGGACGTCCTGCCGCTTCCTCAGAGCCTGTGGATCTGCTGCAGCAGCCAGGCCAGTAGGGCTGGGAGTTCAGGGAGGCAGGAACAGCCTCTGTACATCTCTGTCTCACTTTTACTCTCCCTGGCGTCTGACTTTCTTCCTCCAACTTTCCCAGTCTGTTGAGGAGCTGTGTCTTCCTGCTCTGTCTCTCACGGCCTGCCTCTGGGGCTGAACTCTCCACGTCTGTCATATTGTCTGTGTATACATGCATTTTACTCTTTTTTTGCCTCCCCCAAACCCCATCCCTTGTCTTCTTGCTCCCTCCACCCCTGCACCTCTTAGGCTACATAAAGGACTTTGCAGACCCCTGTATCCATCCGCCCCCATCAGAGACGCTTCTTAAACTTACTATGGAACTAAGCGTGATGGCGCATGCCCACAGCCTCAGCATTTGGAAGGATTACCAGGAGTTCCAGGCTAGCCTGGGCTTCCAGTCCAACTTTGGCTGTACCAATTCTCATCTCAAAAAACCAGTCACCCAGCCAGGCAAAACAAACAACAAAACTCCACTCTGGAGCATGTTCTCTTCTGCTCTGGGGTTCCTGTGTACCCTGGTGGGCCATGTAGGATGGCCAGTCCCACAGCTGTAGCCCACATCTCCCTCCATGCCAGACTGTGGAGTAGAATGAACTCCTGGGTTATGGAGGATGATAATATAGGTCAGGATCCAGGCCTGTCTTTCAAGTTCCGTCTTTACCACAGCACAGAGTGGCTTCCCAGAGGTGGACAGCTTGGGAGGATGAAACAGGAGGTTCTTTTGACCCATTCTTCCCTTCCAGTTGTCTGGAAGGGCTTTGTGGGGACAGGGTTGTTTTGGAGTGTGACCTTGGTTTTGTGAAGGACCAGCAGCATCCAGAGAGACTGATTAAGGATTCTAGACACTGGAGTCTTCACTTTGGCATCTTGCTCTGGGCTCTGAGCCAACCCAAGGATAGGCTAGGTGTACATGCCTAGTCCCAATCTGGGATTTCTATGCTTTCCTTCTAGACCTATGGTTTTCAGAAATGGCTTTGTCAAGCGTCCTGTATGGGATAAAATCCTGGGAGGGGGGGGGTGTAAAGTGCCATCACAGAGTCCACCCTGTGCCCCTGCTTCCTGAGTCGTACAGTTTGAGCATTTCAGCCCATACGCCATTGTGGCTGTCTGCTAGTGTCCAGAATTCTCGGATTCAGTGGGTCCTCCACCTAGTTCCAGCCCAGACTGGGTCTGGGCTGATCAACCCCACTTAGCCCCCAGGTCTAACTGCTCACCTACCTTTAGGGCATGGAGCAAGATGTCCTCCAAGCAATTGACCGGGCCATTGAGGCTGTGCACAACACAGCCATGCGCGATGGTGGCAAGTACAGCCTGGAACAGCGTGGAGTCCTTCAGTGAGTACCTGGGAGGTGAAGGTAACA